CTTGAATGCCCGCGAAAGTTTCAACCAATGAACAACCGTAGTTCCTCCTGATAAAACAGTCAGCACAGGGCCCAGAAGATGCCCCTCCAGGACGTTCTCAGACTCAGCTCAGACAATCACATGACGGTCAGTGCGTCTGAGTTCCAGGACTTTACCTTGTTCTAAGAGTCGAGACCGGAGGTCGCCCGTGTGTAACCCAAAGGATCCGCCTGAGGTTAGCCCAGCAGCAAGCCTTGTGAACTGCCGGTAACCCACCATGAATGCTTGCCTGATCAACGAGGGAACTACGGTCGGAACTTTTGACAGCTGAATCTTAGTTTTCAGGACTAGCGCTACATTGGGAACAAACCAGCCTTCTTCCCATCTAAAGAGTGTGACCCACAGTCACTTTTCATGTGCACAAACTCTGCTAGTTCAGCCAGGACTAACCAGCCAGGTCCTCAGAGAGGCACTGCCAGCATCCCCCAGCAGGAATCTCTCCCTCCTTCTCCCACACCTCCAGCTGCACCAGGACTGGCTGGCATCGAGCCAGAGGATGCCGATTGGATGCAGCAACAGCCTGCCGCTGTTCCTTTGTGTCCGCAGGAGATCTGAATCCACATAAATTGGATGAGTATTCAACATTCTGCATTGCAGCTTGAAAATTCAATTGTTACCTCAACTTGAGTTGATGTCAATTTAATTCCTATGAGTGATGTACTTGCTTTTGAGTATCTAGTGTAGAAGTTGTAATCAAAAAGCTCTTTAATGAAACGGAATAACTGAATGTTAAAATGAATGTACTGTATATATATCTTGGTATTTGTAACTCTTCGTGATTGAATATATACCTTTTGCATTCTACTAACCCTCACTATAAGATGCACATTTTATGTGTTAATAAATATATTCTCGTGTATTAGTATCCGTGTGTGTGCGTTGCCGAGTTGTTCCGCAAGGCCGATTTTGTAATATCCATCTAAGAAGCATTTTGATGATTTACTGCTTCAGTTATTAATTGTCCCAATACATGCACAAAATCCCTACATTGTTATCATAATTAAATCATAAAAGCCAAACCTATATCCAGTATATTGGTGAGAATATTTCTAATTTCCACATACATTTGGAATAGTGGAGAAAATCAGAGGTGGTTTTCGGTTTACCGAAGGTGATTTCTTGATAGATTAAATGTTTTCTCTGGCCCATTACTACTGTGATTTATCTATGCACCAGGGCAGTTTTTCAGAGCAGTTGCACAGCTGTAGCACGGGGTAATGATATTATGTGTTTGGATGAGATTACCTTTGTTGTTGGCACATATCTAAGTCCTCACTGTATTTATTTTTTTCTAAACCATAAACTGAACACCAGATGTCACATGATTTGACCATCTGGAAAGAAATAAGGTTCACAAAGGTTTACTGAGAAATACAGTCACAATGTGTTAAAATCCTTAAATCACATGGTTTTCTAAGTTATTCAAATACCAGTGGTTTTAAGTATTGCATCTTCAGCATGTAGTGTACATGGGAGTTGGAGTAAAGGATATGGGGTTCACATTCATACTGGAAGGTTGTGATTCGAATCCCTGTGGATGAAACTGGATATCCTGCAAGAACAAAAAAAAGAGGCCTTTTGGCCCATCTAGCCTGTTTAACCACTGTTGTACCCCTGAGCAAACTATATTACCTCAAATACTCTAGTCCACCCAGATTTATTTATGAGTACTAGAATTGCTGGGAGCAGTCCAGTGTCCCGTGAAATAGAGCAGTCCCATTGGGAAGGGTCACATAATCTCAGTCCACCTAACTTGAAAACTATGATAAGTTTGGGCTTGTCAAGTCTCTTGCCTTAAGGTCTTAATGTGTGACCTACATCAGATGCACAGGATATAGTACATGTTCCTGGAACTTCAGAAAGTGCCATCCTTAAGTATTGTGTTGAGGTTCAGCCTCAGAAAGGGACATCTATTGGAAAATAAGTCAAAAGAAATTTATTAAGGTAGTAATTTTTTTGCAAGTCAGTGCTGTGGAAACTGAAAATTTAATGGGTTTTGTGAATTAAGGTAAGGAAAATAAATGAGGTTGACAATACAATGTATTGTATAGCTGAAGTAGTAAAATGACCTTTGATACGGCATTCCACAGTTTCATTACAACACTTGTAAAATGGATCGTAAAAAAATATGTACTTTAACAAGTAATGCTAAAATTATTTTATATGTTTTTGGCAATATTAGCTTTTCAAGACCATTGATCTGCTCTAATTTTTCTTGCAGTGTCTAGCAAGAAAATGTAACATAAAGCAGAGTCTTCCTTTCTGGTAAATCTACCATGTATGGAAATATTATTTTTGTACATAGTCCAGGCCTCTCTCTTAGAAGCTTAATATTTTAACATTTACCCCTTTTTAAAAAAACTGATTATTTAATGGAAACCATATTGAGGTGTAGAGCAGTGTAGTAACTGTAGTCACTGAAAGCATATCGCCCTCTGATTGTACTGCTGTGGATGCCACATGAGCCCGTGACAAGCAGCTCAAAGTCTGTCTGGTTTATGATCACATCAGCATTACCACCTTATAATTATATTTAGTCAGATCTTAGAAACCAAGCGAGGCTGGAGCTGAACTGTACTGGGTTGGGAGAACCCTAAGGAAAACCAGGTTGCTGCTGGACCAGTAGATGGCACTATTCTCTCTTGTGCAGAAGTTTCAAACCAATGCCCCCCATGTGTTGTTTTGGAAAACTGCTGTATAAGGTGGTGCAATGGTAAAGCAAGATTGTTGAACTGTGTTGTGACTAAATTCTGCTCTGGGATAGCATACTGAGGCCTTCCTCAAGATCCCCTCAACCTAACCAGTGAAGCAGTTTCTTACTTCTTCAGCTCACTGAATGTGTAGTGGGGCGGCAGAAGGTAGTGACTTGATGTACAGTACACTACCCAGGTGCATGCTGGACTTCTATGATGGAAGATGTGGGTTCCCCCTACAGTGTATGTAAAACTTACAGATCCTTTGGGATGTAAAGTGCAATATGTAAGCATCTTATCTTATTGTTATGCATGTCAAATTCTAGAATCGTATTGGCATATTCAGATCCAAAATCAGAAAAGATGTTAGTTCCCCAAATTTGCTGTTTCATACATTTTTCTTTGAAATTAAAGATTTGCAGATTCATTAGAGAGTACACAGGCAGTACATACTGTATAGTTTCAATAATTTGTCTCATGCCCGTTTTTGAGTTTAGCTTTAAAGGCAGGTCATAGCAAGCAATAACAAGAGTCCAGAATTTCAAATAAATATGTACTTGCCAATACAATGTTGAAAACAAGTAGCAGTCAAAATGTACTGTTTTCTTTCTCTTGAAAAGATAAACACCAGAGGGGGAGCTTACACTATAGCACACTATAAGTATGCAAGACTTCTTCTCTGATGTTACTATAAATTAGAATCCAGTTAATGGAATTATATATAAATAATTGGAAAATATGAAATTTCTCATAACATACTGTACATTACATTATGCCTTACTAAGGTGCTTAATTAAATAGGCTTCAGTATGTCCAGAATTCTGAGGCTTTTGTGTTGACTAAACCTGTTTCATCTTCATGACTCCTGGCACAAGAGTGGTTCTCTTGCTCACATTTATGGTATTTAATGGTCTTGTTTCAAGTTATTTCAAGGACTTTTTATGAGCTTACCAAATGAGCTAGAAGGGCCGAATGATTTGTAACCTTTTTTAAGTTCTTATGAGTATACACCAATGAAAATCTGAAGTCAGCAGATTCAAGCTTACTTACTAAGCTCTACACAATGGGGTATACTGTATAGTGTTCTCAAGAACAGCACCATGTCTGTGGAACTCATTGTTCAAATCCTCAGAAACTCTGTGACTGTTGACATTTTTAAAACCTCTTTTCACTGCAGCATTTAATGGATGATATACAGTAGGTTTAATTTTGTTTTTTACTGTCCTCTTTTTCCTTCTGTTGTGTATAGTGTTTTAAGTATTTTGAAAAAGATTTATAAATAAAATGTATTATCATTCCAAGTCCTGTAAGGTATTGATAAAGTCAATCCAGGATGCTTCTTCAATATCATAAGCATCACTTCCACCACATGTTATCTGCTTGTTTTGTCTGCAGAATGCACTATCCGTCTATGTGTCCCGTGTTTCAGAGGAACAAGTGTCCTAACCACATTGTTGGTGCTGATAGGTTGGAATCATGTCTAAAAATTATTTAATTTATTCATGGATCATTAACTTACAAGTAATGAAACAATCGACATGGACATATTTTCTGTTCTTATTTTTCTCATAAATCTTTCTTATAATGCAAAATAATTGCACATAGGATATGGTAGAGATTTTGATGTTGAAAGGGAAGCTCTGTCTAATGTAATGCAGTCAGACTGTTTCCCAATAAAAAGACTCAAGGGACAGTGAGTTTTAACACCCTATATTTAAGAAGTAAAACTTCTTAAAAGTGCAAGACCAGTGGCAAGTAACAGGATACTATGGCAGGGGCAAACGAGGAGAAGTAGAGATTGACCAAGCAGACTGAACGTAAACAAAGAGATTAACTTGAAAATGTGAACTCTTGAAAAACAACATGAAAAAATACAGTGTCTGCCATGACACTGTAAGACAAGTACTAAAAAACACAAACAGAGTCAAATCTGGTCTGGCTTCCCATATACATGCAGGATTGAAACTTCACCCCTGACTGTGGGAACATGAAATAATGACAATGTGCTTACGTTGGCCTTACTATTGTAACTTTCTTCCCCAAGAAACAGTTATTTAATGAAAGATCGACAGCTACTCAGATCATGATTCCTTCAAAAAATAAATCAAAATCAGACTCATACACTTGCAATTTGAAGGGATTTAGAAGCTGTGCTGAAAAATGATCTTTTAAATGCTTAAATTTAATCCTGTGCTGTGGACATGTTTATCATTCAAAGATCAAAGTATTCAAAATCAAGAATGAAAAAAGGAAGGAAACACATAAACATTGAGGATATTTCCATGATTTTATTATTTTAAGTTTGAAGACCAGACAAGCTCATACTAACTTTTGCATTAACCTGCAGGGCTGGATTATATACAAAAAAAACAATTCATTATCACACAATTGCAAAGGCTGCAGTGGTCATTCTGCCTTCTATAAATAAGATTTTTAAATGTTTTCATTAATATTACTTTTTTTGCAATCACTGACAATTCATAAGCCAGCACCACATCATATTGACAACAGTTCAATATTACAAGATTGAATCCACAATTTGTTTTCAAAATTGCTATGAAATTTATGCAATGATCTGCAAGAAAAAGTCAACCATAGATTAGTTCATATAGTTTAAATCAGAAGCCCTTTCAAGAATAATAAGGTAGATATCTAGGGTTAATAAAGAGGAAAAAAACACATGTACCTGTACCTGTGGACAATTAGAACATACATATCCTTACATTTAATTTCAGAATTAGGAGTGGAAAAATTATTAAAATTCCATGATAAATGTAAAGATTTAAAGCTGAAAACAAACAAGTATGTTCCTCTCCCTAGAACAAAAAAAAATCCTTCAGAAAAGACAGTGAATGCAGTATGTTTTATCACCTACCCATCCTAAAGAAGCCTCATTTCTTGGTGAGGATCAAGGCAGTGACCTAGATACCTATCTCAGAAGCACAAGGGGCAAGACAGGGCTGGGACAACATGACTGCCCTCAGCTTGGTCAGAATAACAATCCAGAGCAGGGCCACACAGAAAAAATATTACATTGCATTAAGTTAATTTTCCCTCCAGTTCTATGAATAGAATAAAATATAAAGTGATTTGGTGTTTGTAGTCATACAGTACTACAATAGGTATTTTAATCTTTCCACAAACAGCTAAAATGTTTCACCATAGGGCTTGAGTGGGCCTGTCAAGTTCATGCATGGCAGCTCCTCCATTTTAAGTACTTATTCAATTAAATAAAACCCAAAACAAAAATCACAACTGACAGTCACTGAGGAGTTAATAGCTCCAGTGGCTGGGCTCCAGCTGAGCTAGTCTTCCTGTTTGTTGTCTTCTGCTGGACTCTGCCCAAGTTGCACAGACAGTGTTGACATGTTTACAAATCTGTTGGCAGTCTTTCCTTCTGCTATGCCACAGAGATGGCTTTTTATCTCCCCCCCCCCAATTAAACAAAAACAAATGAAAAAAACAAACAAATCATTATAAAAATAAGGTTTCAGTTCCATCCCATCTATATGTTCTGTAGAGGAGATGTTCAACATAATCTTTACAATTTTAGGCACCAGGAGAAAAATTATAGTAATTTAATGTTGTATGTTTTGCTACAATAATACCTTTTTTAATGTTACATATTACTCAGCTTTATCCTTTTAAAGAAAATTGTGATATATACAGTAGTAATTAAAAAAGAGAATTGAGTCTAATATTAAAGACTTGATGGGTATTAGGGTATTAATTATGCATTGATTGGCTGTAAAACATACCCCCCCCACCAGTCTGCAGAGATCACCCCAGTACAGATACCTGCACCTTTAGCTGAGTGAAAATTGAGGAAGAAAATCGTAAACAGGTAATATAGATTTATGAACTCCCAGAGTAATAGAGTATATACAGTACGTGAGCACAGAAGAGACATTTGCCCAGCCTAACCTAATTTCGTTTTTGATTGTAATTTGTTAGATGTTCCTGCTACTTAAAAATAACCACAATACTTACAGCAGCAGCACCATTTGATAAATCGGGAAAGTTTGTGTTTTATCAGTCAACCAAATGTATCAGGTTTAATTAAACAGTAATGCACTGATGCACTTGGTGAACATCAGACTGCATTACATTTTCAACAATTACTCCAGAAATCAAGTCTAGGAAATGCCTATGTACAGTAAATGTGGATGTCATCTTCAAAGTGAAAAAAATAAAATCTACCCTTCTTTTTTACTATTACAGTATATACATTAAGTTAAATATGCTGTAATGACAGTCTCCTATTGGCAAATACTTTTATTTAAGATCAGAAGGATTCATTTTTTATTCATTCTTAAATGGTGTGAAATGTTTGTATTTTCTTCTAATTTTGTATAACAAATTATAATTGATTGTTCTTGAATGTAAATACAGGAAATAGTAAAAAATAAGACTTAACAATTTTCAATGTTTCAAAGTTTCCAAAACTTGATCAACTACCAGAATTCTTGTTTTTCTTCTGGTTGACATATGTCTTGTCATAATTTGGACTGAGCTATTTCAAACAGTTTTTAACTGAAAATCACATGTTGAGGAAAACATGCACAATATGCGATTAAAAACATTTCATTTTGACAATATGGTACTGTTTTTCTGATGCTAAAAAAGAAAGAAAACAGGAAACATATGAAAATACAAATTAAAAACATTCGTATGGTCAGGTTTTAAAGATGGAAAGAACTGACAAGGGAATAAAAAGTAAAATATTTCAGTTAGATTTTGTTATTAAGAACCTACACTTACTTCTTTACTCTCATTAAAACTTTTTTTGATTAAATCTTAAAGGGACATCCCACCTGCAGTTTTTTGTTGTCCCTCTCCCAACACTAAAAACTGTTATTGCAGCAACATGCTTAGGTGAAATGTATCTAGAAACAAACCAATGACACAAATACATTAAAAAAATTACAGGCAGTTGAAGTTGAAAAGGAAACACCAATGTACAGTAACTTGGGCCACCATGGCATGGTATCTTCCAGTGTCTCGAATTTTGCAGGTGGTAGATCATCATTCTTCACTGTGAAAGTCAATGAACTCATGCCTGGTTGCTGCGGGTACAAAAAACCGCAGTCTCGGGCCCTGTTCCACAATATCCCATAAATGGTCAACTGGTTACAGATCTGGTGACCATCTGGTGACCAATGGCATACGGCTTATCAAACCATGGAGGGACCACGTGTTAGCTGTGAACAGGAACGTTGTGATCCTCAATCCTCAACAGGAAAGAAATGCTACAACATGGGGTGGAGATAATCACTCAGCACCGTTAAGTACTGATTTGGCGTAGGCTTTGCCTTGTAAGGAAATGAGTGAATCTGAAACATGCCAGGAAAATGTGCCCCACAGCCACCAGAACCCTTCACTGTTGGAATCAAGCATTGAGGACGGCAGAATCCTTTAAACTGATGACAAACATCCATTGTTCCGTATGAAGAGAACATGGTGAAGGATGATTCATCTGACCTTACTTTTCTCCACTGCTCAGTTCATTGCCTGTTATTTTTGCACTACTGGATTCACTATCTGACTGTGGTTTGTGGACCATTTCTGATTAAACTGGCTGCTTTGTGCCCAAGGTTAAAAGTTGTAAATTGATGAGTCAATTAATGTATAGTTGCTCATCTGCTTTGCATTGTACTTCACACCCCAGATATCAAGATCCTGGGGTGTGCATGTCTGTTCAATATTATCGTCTGGTGATGATGTCTTTCCCTGGATGTTCCATGCAGGCATCATCTTAGACCAGAAATGTTCTGGAGTGTTATTTACTGAATTCATACATACATACATTCATTCTTGATTTTAGTGTATTTTGGTGCCCCTCATTTATCCAGATGTTTCATTTTTCTTGTCCATTACCTGTACTTTATGTAGCCCAACACATTTCCAATGTGGAACAAAATAAAGGTTTGGTGGGCACCAACATTTGGTATGTCATTACTGCTTTCTAGACAGTGAAGCTTTAAAGACGATATGCAAAACTATACGTTTTAAGTGCTGTTGGTGGACGTACTGTATAGATCTGAGCCAAAATCAGTGCTCCAGGATGGTGATACTGTACATAGAAGATACTGTGCTAATAGACCTATCCTTCAGATGAGATTTTAAATCAAGGTCTGTATGCTTGATTTTTAAAGATCCTTTAATATGGTTCATAACTATTAACACTGATGTTTTGGCTAAATTCTACTCTGTTTGCTCAAACTGGCATATATAAATTTGGACTGCAGATCAATTGGTGAAATAATTTCTCACTTCACTGTCAGATCTTTTATAATATATAGTGGGGCTGCTGGCACATAATGATTACTACAGTATGCATCACCAAGGTGGATGTTGCATTTCAGTGGTGGATGAAATTGATTCTTTCCAATATACAAAGAACTTTGGGATCCTGTGGAATTAAATCTTCAATACAAATGAAATCAATTGTTGTGATTATTATTATAAATTATTGTGCTTATCAGCCATTTCATAAGCTCAACATCATGGCTAACTGAACTAGTTAAAAAATAGTAGAAAGTTGTCTGAACAGTGTTACCTTTTAATGTAAACTACAATTACTATACACAGAAAGGAGAAAATGGTGATACATGAAAATTCCCATCTAGATTATAAAACTGAGATGAATCCGATAAATTCTCTATTTTCATAATAAATAAATTAATTCATAATCAGTATCTAATGCTTCAACTGTCTTGTTTTGTTTTGACATTGAAAATGAAAAGCTTATTTATGTGCATGGAAGAAGAGTTTTTAAAAAGTTAGAAGGAGAACATTTGGTCCTCTGATGCTCATCTGCTACTTCATAGAGACCTGAACTCTAAAAAGAAAGTAACAGATCTGAATGAATTCTAATGAGCCATTATAAATCAAGAGACTTTAGAACTTATTCCTTACATTTCTCTTATCATACAGTATGTGTAATTATGTGCCATTAACCTCTTTGCTTGCTCTCTTTTAAGCTTGCCTTTTCTACTTTATAGTCCATACATCCATTACACATTACTTACAACATATTGTATCTATGGTCACATAGCCTACATTTAGAAGTATAGAACATTTCATAATTTCACAGTATAAAAAAGTGCATTGTCAAAATTGATTGGTGGACTTTTTAGATGTGCACTTAAATGTTGTAAAAAACTGAACATTTACAAACCTCTGAAAAATGTGTCCAGCTAAACCATATTTTTTATCAGAGCTACTTTAATGTCTCCAAATACCAGAGACATTAGGAGCAATTTCTCTTTCCTGCTTGTGTAAGAGAAATAATATGCAAATGTACAGTTATTTACTGGACTACTGGACAAATAACAGAGAAGTTTATTATAGTTTCCACTCTTAAATCTGAAACTCACAAATATGTGAAATTCTAATGTTTTAATCTATAAGAGAGCATGTGTAACAGTAACAAACTCATACTGTAGAGATAACTGCATTTTTTCCCCAACAAAATGGACTGGCATACTAAGAGGACACAGGTTACTGTTTATGTCTGTAAATTTCATCCATATGTAAGAAAGCCCATACACATTTCTAGATGATTCTAGAATTACATTTAACTGGGTATACAGTAATTAATACATAAGGTTGACTTTTTCTTTTTAGAACAACTTCAAAACTTATTCAGAGACCACTTAACATATAAATTCACCAGGAGTGCCGTTAATACGGTTACAGACACAGTAACAGTCTACTGGCTTTTTATCATGTAGCAAAACTAAGAGATTATAATGTGTAGCTCTGTATAGTACAACATTTGCTGCGTATTTTTCAGTTCATTTCCTTCAAGTGCACTCTCATTTTATCCCAGGAATTCTATGACATAATCGGAACTGTAACATTGAATGAAGGTGACATAATGCATATCTGTCTTACACTTTAAGCAAAGAAAACTTTATTTAAAAAAAAAACCTTTGAGAAAAATAAAACGTGATGGTTATACCTCATAAATATTTATGAAGCGATGTAAAAATTATGTACTGTATGCCATTCAATATCATGTACCTTTTAACTATGTGTATCCTTTCATTGTCACTTTTAACAAACACATAGGCTGTGTTTTTTAACATTTTTAAGAAGGAGTTTACTCTTAGGCATATCTTAAAATTGTGGGTAAAAAAAAAGAAACACAATAAAAACGCGTGACATCTATCCTGAGCTGTTCAAATTGTTTCATAGAGATCTAAAAGCAGGACTTAACATACAATAGAAGTAAAAAGAAAAACTTATCAATGTGACACACTTTCAATAGAATATGAAGTCAACCACAGTACTCAACCAATGTTTCAAATAAATTAAAGACAACACAAAATTGCAACTGTGAAAGGACTCCTTGATCCTGATCATCCAAGACGTACCTCAGTGTGTTAATGCTGCAGTATTACTTTTTTAATAAACATTTATGTTTTGGCAAATGCATCCAGGCCTGATCACACAAGCATAGTTGGATGTAACATGAAAAAATGTATTGAATATTTCTGCTAATTAGACAGAATTGTGCATATTAGGTTTATAATTGTTGGCATATAACTTTAAATGCAAAACACAAAAAAAGTTTAGTAGTAAGAGCTTTTGTGCAATGCATCTGTACTGTATGTGTTTAAACATATTATAAATAACACAAAAACAAAATAATCTTTGTTAGGCATTAATACATAAAACTTTTGTTTGCTCAGAAAAGTCACTATAAGGAGCATGTGAATGGTAAAGATTCTGAAATGATGATGTAGTATTATGCATTTTATCATTTAGAAACGAAACTGTGTACTTGACATTTATGTTTACTGGGTTGTATACTTGAAAAAGAATTTTAAATCAAGAAATTGAAGTTCATGTACAGTATGCATGGAATGCAATGATCTAATTTCTTTGTTAAAAAAGTGACACTGCAGCTCTCCTTAGAACTCATTTTAACCACAGTGTGAATATTATTTTCCCAATGTAAAACAATACATACCATATAAAAATGACAACTTATCTATCTCAAGTAAAAAAAAGAAAAAAGGACATACATTTGACAAGGGCAGGCTTAGACCATTTTACAAAACATAAAATCCTGCCTACCACAACCAAACACTTATTCTTGAAAAACCCATTGGAGATTTTTACAGATTTCACACAGTTTATGGTGAGATACTGGAGCAATATTCTAGGCAGCTGAATATTCCAGTACGCAGGAGTATTCAATCCTCTTCTGTACATCCCAGCAACTCAACTCGCAAAGTAATGCGGCCATACCATGACCAAGGAAGGATCCGGACAAACCTGGCATAGATGGGAGGCTCTATCACGTTCTTTCTGTGCGTGTCGTTGTCAAAGTTTCCTTGGAAGACCTGTTGAGTGTGTGAAGAACACAAAGAAATTAAATTGAGGGAAAACACAAGATGCTACTGAACCAAGAATAGCAAGATACAGGGGTCGCAAAACACTTGCATGCTGGGTTCTACCTGGAAAGCACCTGCCACCCATGTTTGAAAGCCAGCAGTGCTGAGACAATTTTTTTGGGGGGGCTTGTTTTTTATTTGGAAAAATAAAGGGCACATTCTGAAATAGCGTTGCTGACAGAGTTTTGTCTGTCTGTTTTGCTCAGAGTTCTGAGATGAAGCGCTACTACTAAAGAAAAGCATGCCATCCTCTCCCGGAAATCAGAGCTGCAGTACTCATTCTGTAAAGCGCTACAGAGGTAATGCAAACTGCACTTTGGTTTTCTAAGCAATTCTGGGAAGAAATTCCAAGTCATCTTCAATTTCTATTTATGATTGTTTTTAGCTGACAAAAGTTGGGAAGAACACACACAATGTTCACAAATTAATCTTTGTGCCTAAAGAATTACACACCTAAAATATTGATACAGAACCTACCAACATCTCAGAATAACACATTTTGTCACCCCTGTAGAACCATACATTTCATACAACCTACTTTCTGGCAGTAGAGGTGCTCATTTGGAGTATAGGTATAGTAAAGCTCTATAGTACCCATGTTGTCACTTTTTGAAAATTTGCCAGAAATTGCTTTTATCCAGCCACAATGTACATAAATTAAAATTGATAATTGTTTATTTGCATTATTTAGCTAGAACGCCATTACAGATATGAACAATGATCCAGAAGTTAATATACAAAGCTCTCATTCATAAAATGTTGCAATGTATTAACTCGAAAACTTTATGTAACAATGGAATATTTAGGAACCCTTTATTAAATATTCAGGTCTACTTTCATAAATAATACATCTACTGTATGTGGACAGACTGTAAAAGCTAGAGGCTTTAAATATGGTTTTTAAAGATGGTTTGAGGGAATTAACTACAAGTGCTTTACTATACTGTAAGTTCGTATTATATCTTGTTAACTATATATCTTTTTACTTATATTTTACTAAAGCTGTCTCAGGATATCTGGTCTCAAAAGATAACATACGTAGCCACATGATGTCTTTATGCTCATCTGACCTATCTTGGAACAAAGGGTCAATTAAGCAGAATGGCTGCTGGTCACACGAGCAGGCAGTAAAGGATATACATGTAATGGTCAGCTTTTTAGAATGACCATTTATAGCTAGAAGGCAAGCAGGAAGTCATGTGAGAAGTGTACAGTATCTTGTATTGTTTGTTCCACTATATAAAGGAGCACTGTAAACGTTGGTTTTGAAGTCTTGTTCCACAAGCAAGACTTCCATATGCATATGACTAAAGACGTCTTTCAACACACAATTCAGCTGATGCTCTTTTTTCTGGCACAACAGTTTCTAAAAAAAGTTTTATTAGCAAGCACATTCAGATTTTTTCAATGAACAGTAAACAACTCTATCACAGCATCAACCTTCTTGTCTATTCCATATTCGTCTCACTGCCTGTACAGTATCTACAGTGTCCTCTATATTTTATACATATTCACTATGTAGGTTGCCTCTATTTCTCATTAATTAGGCTTTAGCCAAAACTTTATATAATAGATTATTCCAGTTTACATGTGGTTTAGAGCTCTTAAAAAATGTACATAGTAAATAGGTTTTCTATAGGTTATCAATTGTATATTGCTAAAAAACGTATAAATACTATTTGTACTAAAATTTGCAATGTCTTTCTATTGTAAAATAGTTATTAGTTAAATTGTTATTGTAAAAATATTATATAATCTATATATAATGATTACCTTCACATCAATAAAACACCTAGAAATACCAATCTTTTAAGAAAACAGGGAGAGGCTGACTTAACATAATTTTCCTGACTATCAAAGCACAGATTAAATGCATCTTAATAACCATATTGCTGTTTTGAAGTAGATGCACCTTACAAATCAGGTGTCTTGGAGACTATTCTCACCAGGGAGAGAGATTTGGCTTCAAGCCTGCCTCTTTAGGTGGCTGTTGAAAAGTCTGGAGAGCAGGGAAGAGCACTTCACTAATTAAACATTTTTTAAACCACTGGCAGATTATGGCTGTACTCAGTTGTGGAGTTCTGTAATTTATTACAATACAGTAGATAAAAATCAGCATTAAATATTGCTTAATTCTGCAATGGCAATTTTGGTTATCTATCCAAGTTAGACTTTGAAAGCTTTCTGTGAATTGTACTAATCAGAAATTCAAAATTAAATTGTAAGAGAACTTAATGATTTTCAGGAATTAATCAACCATAATAATTTACAAGGATTCACCCACAGATTATAAATATACAATATACAATTTATTGATAGAACACCAAAAACTTTTATAACAAATATCAAATTTAATCTGCAAGTTAGACAGGTGGAAGAACTTGGTTTGAGCTCTAGCTTGGTGCTGAATACGCTCTGATATTCAGGATGTTGACAAAAATAGTTCAACTGTCTTATTTTGTTGATCAGGCAAAAATAACAGCAGGTTTGTAAACACAAAAATTCTCCTTTTACAGGAAGAATATCTTGTGTAACCTCTATACTTTAAGGACTTGCTGTCTTGGCCTCTCTTGGAGAAAGTTTAAGACCTAACTTGGACTGCCTGCAATCATGTGGTTTGAAATTCAGATTTCCAGTTTAGGTGAAGAGAGATAAGAAGTCAGGGAGCTAACAAACAAAAATTAGTTGGGTTCTAGCTTTTAAGGTATGACAACACAGCTAGTGATTGGCTAAGATACTATCAGGTATAGTTTTGATATCCACCTTGCTGATCGTTCACTGGAGGATCCTTTGTGTAATAAACAGAGTACAGACTTGATGAAGCCAATCTGCGCTATACTATATACGGTATGTTTAGATGGAACAGAGTTCTGTATCTTATGAGATTGACCTAAATATAGAGAAATAGAAATACATCATGCTGCACATATTCCCATAAATTACACTATTTCAAGTTATTAAAGATAAGGAGAAGGTTAATTTTGTCATCATCAATATCTAAAAGATATTTTTACTTTACTATATAAGTAACCATCATACAGTATATGTTTCATATCACTGTCACAGATCCAGCCATTCAAAATCTGAGACGTACAGTATGCTGCACTAAAACGCGGTGGACAATCCGCAACAAACTGCAACGAACGTGTTTTGTTTAAATAGGGTTAAATACCTTGTAATACCACCAGGTGGAGATGGTCTTAGCTGAGTTGCTAAGCAATCTGCTGATTGCTGATTACTTCACACTTCAGGAAGAGATGAAAAGGAATGCAATTTTATCTATGATATGCGTGTTGCATTTACAAAATCAAAATGTTTAAAATTTTTAACTAAAAAGAAAAAAATGTATCGTACACAAAGATTCTAAGATGATCGTGCACAAAAAGTGTCAATAACTTAACCCATAAGTAACTATCTAACCCCGTTTTTTCATGGATTTTAAAGTAATGCAATTTTAGGTAGGGACACGCTATTTCTTATTTTTTATTTTCTTTAAATTTGAAAGAATCAGTTGCCGATTGTGCCATGAAAATAAAACGTCAATATAATGTACATGATATTAACTACAGTACTTTAAATACGCATTTGTTAAAGGAGAACTCTTCCCCTGAGCAAGATTTGAACCCCACCCACCTTCCAGAATGCGAGTCTCGCACTGAAGCCATTATGCCAACAAGCCACTTGGCAGCTTAAGCTATAGCTGAAAAGGGCAGGCAAAATGTTTCCATGTTATTAGTGAGTGACATTGATACAGATGTTTACAAAGAAAGTGGACTAATAATTTATAGTAATATTTTGAGCTATATGAATATAATTTAATCCTAAAATATTGATATTATTTTCTTTAGATACGCAGTTCCATATTATATTCCCTATTAATCAAATTCTAAATTGTATGCATTTTTTTACTGTGATAATGAGTGCAAGTATTCATAGAAAAGGTTAAAACAGGGAATACAGAGGGAGTTTCAGAAATTAAACAGAGGTGTGGAACACCCTGTCTCAAAAACAGACGTTTAATAAATTAAATAAAAGGTTGTGACAAATCACTCCGAACAAAATACAATTTTAAAATACAAGCAGTTTGAAATTATTAGTTGTTATTAATAAATCATTTACTGTAACTTTGAACATGTTGTGATGTTAAGAAATACCAACAAATTCAATATAGTGTCAATGATATTTACTATTTTAGTTTTTCAAAGAAATGTTTATTTGTTAAAAGAAAAGTCATGCCGAGAGCTGAGCTCGAATGCCGAACCTCCAGCATGTGAGTCACACGTCAAAGGTATTATATCAACTCGCCACTTGACAACTTAAGCTCTCGTTGAAAAGGGCAGGCAATTTTTTTTTAATCGCGGGTGAATGATGTTTACAGATGTTTACAAAGAAAGTGTACTACGGTAATAATTTGAGCTGTATGAATGTAACAAAATACTTAAATACCATTTGTAATGTCTTTAGATACGTGATTCCACATTATATTCCCTATTAATCAAATTCTAAAAAGTATGTGTTTTTTTACTGCGATTCATACAAAAGGTTAAAACATTATAACTTTTTGTAAAGTATATAAACTTAATATAGTAGGAAGGAGCATGTGAAATGAACGACTTTGATGCTTAAAACGTTTATGAAGAATGTGGAATACTGGTGTGTATTTTTTATTTAAACTTCCAATACCAGCCATTTACAGCTTACATAATATGTTTATATTCCTAAATGAATATCATTTGTGACCGTCAGACACATTATCCTCCTCTTCTTCACCTACCAAAATTTCCCTTTAGTTCTAAAATGCCATATCAATATTCAATATTAAGCAGATTTAAACATGCACGGTAAAGAGATTAAATGAAGCAATCGTTTTACTAACAACCAACGCACCATGAGTGGCGCCTGCCGGTCAGTTTGGCCAGCAAATCATGTACTGCGGTACGCTAATCTGC